CGCAGTCCCCGTGAGCGCCCCAGACCCCCGCAGTGGGGCGCGCGCCCGGCACTCCCCTGCTTCGGCTCACTGCTGTGGCCATTTCCCAACTGCCGGGGCCTCCCCAGGCAGTGGGGGTCTCCCTGCGGGAAGCAGCCATCCGGCTGGCCCAAGCCCACTGCTCCCATCGGTGCTGGGTCCTTTGCAGAGGGTGCACAGCCATTCCCAGGGCAGTCGGTGTCTGCACCACCCTGGCAGGGAAACTGAGGCAGCTGATCAGCAGATGGGGACCCCAGGTGTCCTGCGGAGGTCCTGCGAGGGGGCGTTTCATGGCAGACCTGCTGCCAAATGCCCACTGCGGGAACCGAAGCGATGGGTGCTGGCCGCCCTCCAGCCCGGCATGCCAGGGCAGCACCCCTGGGTGCTGGGAGGTGGCAGCAAACACCCAGGGACAAAGCAGGGGTGGTTGTGCCTATGCAAGCAAGGCGTGCAACACCCGGTCCAAGGTTCGGGGACAGCTGGGAAGTTGAGGCTCTGAGCCAGCTTCTTGGTCCCAAAGCAGGGCCCTGGCCTTCCTGCTGCCCTGTGCCCTGCTCCCTTGGCACCCCAGCATGGGCCCTGCCCGGGCTCAGCCTGGCACCCTGGGGCCCAGGAGCCCAGGGCCAGGGGGCTGAGGTGGCTGAGATGGGGCTAGTGGGACAGGACCACCCTGCGAGAGGTGCCCTCGAGGCACTAGGACACGGCCCCAGCACCCTTCCCCGACCCCAGGAGAGACCTGGCGCAGAGCGGGGTTCACGGGAAAATACTCACAATTTATTACCCGAACAAGTCCCTAGGGTGCCAGAAGAGACACCCCCCTCCTCACCCCCGTCCCCCCACAGGGCACGGCTGGGAGGGGACTCCTGCCAGCGCCGTCCCCAGACACCAGGATCCCCAACCGCTACGCTGCCCTGGCCGCCGCACTCGCTCCCAGCCTCCCCCCAGAGCCAGCAGGATGACATAAGACATGGATGCCAACGCACACGTGTGTCTGCGCACACGGACACCCTGCACACGGGCATCCTCACACCCAGCCGCCCACGCATGCAAACACCCATGCACACGAACGCCCAGGCACAGGGCAAGCACCGACACCCACGTACACGAGTGCCTGCCCGTGCACACCAGCACCCATGGACACAGACACCCTCAAACATGGGTGTCCATGCATACGGGTGCCCATGCACACAGGTGCACATGTACACGGGTGCCCACGCACATGAACAACCACACACGTACACACAGGCACTCCTGTGCCCCCCACGAACACCCAGACACACGAGCACCCACGCGCATGGGTGCCCACGCACACCGGTGCCCATGCACGTGGATGTGCATGCCCCTGGCCGCTCATGCACACGGATGCCCGTGTGCATGGACGCACATACACACTCACACAGACGTGCACACACTGCACAACGCTACACCCCGGACGGGGCTGGTTTCCACATTAAGGGATGGGCAAGCCGGTATCCTTGGCCAAGGGTTCAGGAGGGCCAGAGCCAGCCTTGGGCATGCTGGGGAAGCAAAGCTATTCCCAGGGGAATTTAATCCAGATTTAGGCTCCGAAGGAGATGCGGGGTCCCAAGACACCTTGGATGCAAGTGCCCACTCCAGCGTGCTGGACGCACCTGGTGGGTCTGAGCGTGGCCCCTCGTGGCTTGCCCAGACCCAGGCACTGCCCTGGAGGTGGCCAAGGCCGGAGCAGCGTGGGGCTGTCCCAGAGCTGCTGGTGATGATGCTGCAGAGCAGCGGGGCAGGGTTTGGGGTTTGTTGGTCCCACAGCGACAGCTATAGGTTGACTGCCCTGTTACAGCCTTGGTGAGCGGGAGCAGCAGGGCCGGCAGATACCTCGGCAAACAGCGACCTGGGACGCCAAGCCGTGGCCAGCAGCGCGTCTCAGGGCCCTGCTGCTTTGTTTGCTGCCGGTTTCCTCTCTCCGGGTTTTCCCTGGGGAGGTGGGTCCAGGGGGTCTCAGGGCTGCTGCGGTGGGACTGGCTGTGGGTGGCCCTGGCAGAGGGCACTTTTGGCCAGGGAGACACACCAGGGTGTCCAAAGTAGCATCGCCCTGGTTGCGTCCTCCAGCATCACCCCTGTGGTTGAAACAGCTCCTTACCGAGGGGTGCCCAGGCTGGCAAGGTGGCTTTGCGGGGGCTCCTGCTGCCCGGGACCCCAGCCCTGGTGGGGAGGGTGCCTTAGCCCTGCTCCCCCCTGGGCAGGCAGCACCCTGGGGTGCTCTGCTCCTTGCTGTGGCGTGAGCCTTCGGCATGGGGCTGGCGGCTGCAGGGCTTGGCCCCGTCCCTCGTCATGCTGGCAAAGCGGGGATGGGGCTCGGCGAAGGCTGGTTTCCCTCTTGGACCCCAAGAGTCGCACGATCCCATGACTATGGGGCAGGACATGGACTTGTTTTCTGGGTCAAGGGTTTGGTGGGATGGTTCACACCCAGCATGGAGAATGTTCGTGCTGCCCCTAGGCCTGATAAGGATACTGGATCACCCACTGGAAAAAGGACAGGACACAACACAGTACCCGAAACATCACGGTGACCAACACGCTGAGATAAAAATACCCGTGGGCTGCTCTTCCTGCTCCTCACGGTAGTGCCGGGTGCTTCTACTCCACTTGGCGCCACTGCTGCTAAGCCAAGAAAGTCCCCCCGCCCAGCATGAAATCCTGCCATTTGGTTTTGGTGATGCCACAGAAGAAAATGTTTCCTCCCGCTGGGCAAAGCTCCCCGTCTTTGCCCACTGCGGGGTTGGGAAGTCCCGCTTCGTTACTGCAGGTCCCTCCTTGCTCCGCTCCTCCAGGGGACGGGAGATGTCCGTGCTGCGCAGCACCAAGGAAAACCCAGCCAACTCCAGGCTGCACCCGAAAAGCTCGTCCGGTGCTCCACAGTCTCCCCTTTCCCTGCTGGCCAGAAGTGCATCGTGCTGGGGAGGAGGGTTAGGACGTGTCCTTCAGCTCTGGGCTTTGGGGCTGTGGAGGGGGCACCTCTGCGGACGGCGACTGCATTTCCTGGGACCTGTCTGCGGAGAGACAAGGGGAGTGAGCCGGCCCCGAGCCCTTTCCGCCACCCGGGCCAGGGCAACCCAGCACCTCCCCAAACACTGCGGCCACCCTGTCCCCGGGACACTCGCAACCCTGCTGCTATGAAGACCCAGTCCGTAGCCTTGGTCCCCACGGTGAGATGGGCAGAGCCCCCCGTTCCCACCCCGTGGTGCCCTGGAGCAGGGCCGGCCCTGCTGCCCGGCACCTACCTGCGTTGAGGGACATCTCGGCAAGCTTGAGGGGCAGGTCGGAGGGGCTGACGCCGGCCGGCGAGCCCAGGATGTCGGGCAGGGCGTTGCGGCGGCCGGTTCTCCCAGAGGATGCGAAGTCCAGCACAGGCTCCACCTCTGTCATGCTAACCCTGGAGCGACATGGTCACCTCCCTGTCAGCTCCTGTGGTCCCCAGCACCCTGACAAGGGGCTGGGCTCTGCCCCGGAGAGGGGGCAAAGGGATGCTCTGCTTAGGGGCAGGCAGCAAACCCTGGCTCCGGGTGCCCTGGGAATTGGGGCAGAGGGCTCTGAAGCCAAGGAAGGAGGAAAAAGCCCTTT